ACCACCTGGGGCCCATACATAAAATCCTGTAACAAGGAGATTATGGATCCTGGATATCCAAGAAATATCCACGGGCCTACCTGCCTCGCTGTGGTCCTGCCTGCTCAGAGATAAGACACCACATTTTATTTTTGCAGTTTGCTCAGAGCAACAAACCCCCCTGCAGAGCTATTCAGTGACTGGCAGCAATGAATGCAGGGAATAAGTGAGAGGAAGCTGCAGCTTTGGAAGAACATGAAGAGGGAGAATTACGTGACCGTTTAACCTTAATGCTGCAAAGCTGCCTGAGGAGACCTGCTTGTTTACCCAGTAATTCTATACCCAGGCACTTGGCAGGCTTTTGGAAAGCTATTTCAGGAAGTTTCTTCTTAAACTTTATTTTTATTTTGCCCAGTGACACCACACAGCCCCTACACACCAAAATGAATTTTCGCAGGCAATTGATAAAGGCCAAAGAACTACGCCATGAAAGCTGGAGAAACATTGCTCTCAAAACAGCTATCCCAATTTCAACCTTTCCTCAGTTTCCTAGGGCCAGCAGCGAGACACCTTCAAAAGATAAGGCTGGGAATTAATGTTTTAATGCTCCTATGTATTAAAAATCACAGGCTCTGCAGAGCATTTTAAGGCAGGCCATAATCGTTCCCACCCCTCGGCTCCAGCTCCATCTTCCTCGGACAGTTACTTATTGCTCCTCTGTCTCTGGCTGATCCTTCCACTTCCCTGGGCACCACTCACCCTTTCTCTGCAGTTACTCAGCTGATGAGATTAAGCTCAGAGCAAGAGAGCTCAACCTGTGCTTAGCGCTGGCTGCTCTTTCTGTTCTAGACTAAGACCACACTGCACATCTGAGAGCTCCTCTGTCTCTATTTTCCTGGCAATAGCAGTCAATCTAATAGAAGTCATTACTTTTCTCTGCCAACCTTGTCTCACTTGTATCCCGAGACCATCAGGGCTACAGTGCTGCTTACACAGGTTTTGCTTTTAAGCATCCCTGCCTTGATTTTTCACTTCCGCCAAGTTTCTCCATTTGCTTTCTGAATTTAATGTGGTCCAGTTTATGCAGCAAGCAGACAGCGCCGATTCTTTATTAGGGGTCACACTGGCCAAAAAGCAGGTGATAGAAGTTCTGGCTCAGCGTCAGCCTAATGTGATTCCCAAATTGGAGCTGGCTTACAGCTGTGTGGCTCAGACACCGGCAAATCAAGTCCTCCAGACCAGCAGCACAGACATGCCCTTTGGCAGCGAGTGTGAATCTCAACTGCAGTTTTCTTCATTTGCTTCTCACATTTCCCTCCCTAGCACAGGGCTTCATACCTACCCCAGGGTGACATGGCAGTAAGATTACTTTGGCTTAAGAGCTGTGTTAAAACCACTTAAAAGCTAAATAAAGAAAAATAAAAAGCGGTTATTTTCTGCATGTGTGACACGGCTTTAGCTGCGAGAGCTTTGAGGCCCCAAGACAAGCAGTGGGTGCTGCAGATACCTGTCAGCATGCACTAAAGGGACGAATTTCCAAAGCTTTTCAGGCTCTTTCAGCTGCCTAGAGCTGAGTTTTGGAGGAGATACGGCAGGGAAAAGGTGGACAACATTAGTCCAGTACCGATGGGCAGGAGCTCTAACCACACATTTCAACTTGCCTGCTGTGAACCTCGCCAGCTGAAATGTCCTCTCCATTCCATGCTACTCAGCAGTTGGCATTGCCTATAATCTGGCTCACCCTAGTGGTCTGAGGCTTAATGAGATGTCTGTAATACCCAGTAATTGCTTTGGGTGATTTTAGCATTGACAAAAAGTCATCCAATCACTTTGGAGCAGTTAAATTAAAAGCAAACTGGATTTTGCTAACTATGCTCTGCTTCCAGGTAACGCTTTTTAGAAATTCTCATAAAATCTCTCTGCCGCGTTGAATATAATTTGGATTTTTATGGTATTTTTTACAGTTCCTCAAATAATTCCACCCGCATAAAATCTCTTCCTGGATGGAAAATTCATAAAAAGCTGAATTGTTGTGAAAGGTAGGAGCATGATCTAATATTGTCAACTCTTATTCCCAGACCTTGCCACTGTATTCCTGATGGGCTGAGAGTTAATAATTAATAAATGCTATAAATTACTTGGGAACTTCAAGCTCACACCTGCCCTTCCCCACTTGCCCAGCCAATGCTAACGATCATGGTCATGGGGAAGTCACATGCCCAGATGTCTCCCTGGTCCAGCGGGACCATCGGGGACCGGTGCCATGGGAGGCCTTCAAGAGGCAGCACTGCCACCCCTGGCAAAATGCCCCTCGTGCAGGTGAGGAACAAGTCAACATCCCGGAGGTGTTCACAGGATCCATCCCAGAGCACCCTGGGGACAGGCCAAGGGCATTTCCAGCACCCTGGGGCTGAGCCAAGCACTGGTGACCATCGGTGAGAAGCGACGGTGGCAGGTCCCAAGGACAGGAGCCCAGCAAGACACACACTGGCTTTCAAGAGGAGTTATCCACCAACCCACCTAACTCTGTTTCTTGGAAAGATACTGGAACAAATGATCAAATAATCAATATAAGCACCTAGATAATAATAAAATGGCAAGAAGGAGCTGGCATGGCTTCCTGCGGAACAAATGGCACCAAATCAATCTAATTTCCTCCTCTGACAGAATAACAGGGAGAAATGTGATATGTCCTGACTGGAAAAAGGTTCAGTATCACATGACAGTCTCACGAGCAGATGAGGGACAAATGAGCAAAATAAGAACAAAATCCTCCTAACTCGGATGCATAAGCAGTAGAAAAACACTTCCCAAAGAATCGATTTCTACTGGGACATCAGAACCTGTTTTTGTCCACTAGGTCCATTAATGACTGATTTCTATGATAAAAAAGATAATACGATTTTATAAACCGAGAGGGACTGCGAACAGTACAGAGGACAGGCGCAGAAATTAAATTGATCCTGATAATGAGATGAAATCTGTAAGCTGAAACTCAGTGAGGGCAAATGCAAAATACGGCGCTTGGGAAGGAAAAATCGAATGTACAAACACAAAACGAGAAATAACTAACAAGGCATCTCTGAAAGGTAGATGACACCAATTACCACATCACTTCTATCTGTGTGCAGAGTATTTTTTCCCTATTAAAATAGTTAACCTAGAATTTACCACTGTGTACAGATAGTGTTGATGTTGACAGAGCTGCTCTAAACCTCATTTCTATTTTTAGCAGATTTCTTTTTCCAAGATTCACTCCATTAGAAAGTAACTTTTTTTTTGAGTTTGTGTAGAAGAACCAAAACACTACCAAACATTCCCAAAATACCAGCTGTTTCTTTCTTGGTATTTGACTCCTTTTTCTCTTCTGTTACATTTTCAAGAGTCCCTTCTTGCTGCTTATTTGCTTATTTTATTCTGCCCGAGTTCCAATTTTGCTTCCATCATCCTTATTTCATTATTGCTCTAAGTGAAACAGAATTAATCTTCCATAGTAAATGCAAGTTTAAGACCCATAGTCCTGAACAGATTTTGTGTGCAATGCTGTGTGATACCAGATGGGCCAGAGAATTATTATTTGGGAATTTTGTACCTTCTGGCGACTCAATTCACATTCCTCGTCCTCCTTGTTTCCTCTCTGGTCTCCAAGGTGCCAAAGGGACAGGACTTTTACTGACCATGCTCATCAGAGCTGTGACTCCTACTGCTACCACTGTACAAAAAATAGTGGTGCAATTAGGCACATTTACAGCATAGAAACAAACTCACCTCAAGGCTCCTGTCCACCAGCGTGGTGTGCAGTGCCAGATGATCCGTGAGCTGCCTGGTATATTGCAGGAAGAAGGCATCATCCCAAGTGCTTATCCAGCTGCTTTTGCAGCTCTTTCTAAGTGTGGGGCTACACATGTAGCTGGGGAGAGGTGCTGATCTGGATCCTTGCAGAAGGGGCCATCTCCCACATCCAAGAGAGCCTGGAAGTGCCTTAAGCTTCTTAGCAGATCAGGTTGGCACAAAGCTGAGGAATGAGGAACCCATGCCGATGTAGTTCAGAGATGCCTCTGTCACAGGGGGTGCCATTCAGTCTAATTTCAGGATTTGTTCAGTTTAAATGGCTGGGAATGGTTTGCAGAGGGGTGAAGTGGAAGTCAAAGTAACACTATTTTTGTCTGACTGCATGGATTTTTCAGCTTCCCTTTGTGTGTCCCTACTTTGATCCCTTCCGCACCCTGTGGGCCATGTTTGGATGAGGGCAGCGCAAGAAGCATCATTTACACCCACACAGACACTTGTTTCTCTTCTTGATCTCACACAAAGACTATCTGATAAGGAGGGAGGAGAAACTGCCTCTTTGTTTAGTCGAAAATACAACAATAGAATCCTATTCTAATGCTGAAGAGCAGCGCACAGCCTAAGGGACAAAAAACACTCGTCATGAGCTGAGTGGATTGGTCATTGCTCTCGTTATTGCTTTTTAGTATCCCAGTCAGATGAGTATCACAAACATCAAAACAGATTTTCAGCCAAGTTTATCAGCCATGATACAATTCAACCAACCCAGTGCAGCTGCAGTATGTATGAAATAAGTTTCTCCTTGAAGAGTGCAGTGAAGAGAGACAGACTTTCACCATAAATTCTGGAGAAGTCACCCAACATCTCAGTGTGAATAGATTCTGCTAGGCTAGAACTGTTCTTTTTCCCTTTCCCTGCAAAGCTCAAGCATGTAAAACACAGCAAATTATTTCACCTCTGAATGCTATGCACCGCTGTTTGGAAGTGGGAGCTGGCAAGAACCTAGTGTGATGGCCGTGTGGGCTGGAGGCACCAACCAGCCCTTGGTGGCAGCTCCAGAGGGACCCAGCAGCATCGTGCTCTTCAGCGCAGTGATCCAGACCTGTGGCTGCGGCCCCCTTGCTCTGACACGGGGTCAGCAACCAGACACACTCTGACACCCTGCTTCAGGGAGCAGGGACTAAGCACAGCATTCAAAATTTCACACGTTTTAATGTTTAAAAAAAAAAAAAAAAAAAACAAGTAAATGATGATTCAGAACAGGTCCCGTCATGTTTTGCTTTACAGAGAGATATCCACAGATCAGTTACATGAAAGCAGAAGACATAGATAATCTTAAAATCCTCCCGCCCAAACACCCCACTCAACTGCAGACTCTATGCAGGCTCCATGCAGGACACAGGTGCTCCTGAGCAAACACTACAGCCAAAGCCAGAGAAAGAAGAGCTTCACACGTACCCAAAGCCCCCCAGAACGTCAGATCTCTTAAGAGGGGACTCCATCCAAAGGCCCTGAAAGCCCTAATCAACCTCCAAATACAAACTGGACAAACTTGCAGCTCCTCTGGTCTGCCCCTGCAGCTGTGAGCAACACAACCCCCTTCTCTGCGGGCTGTGGAGGGAGGCCCTTCATAAGGTTAAAATTAGTGGCTGTTAACCTGTCCCTCCAGGTTGCACCATCACTAGCAGAGCACTATTTGCATGACCTAATACCTTGCCCAGGAAATGCAGGGTTAGAAGTGAAGCACCAAAATGTTTCTTTCAGCAAAAAAAGGTCAGCAAAAAGCAGGAGTCAAATTCTAGAGTAATAGTAAGGCAAAGCCATGGATTTGGCATGTCTGATCTGCTCATTTTTCACCTCTCTCTCTCTAGTCTAAGGTTACAAGATGTAGTATTTCATTAGAATAGTAAGTCACTAGTTACTAAACAGAGAGAACAGTCTCTTATTATGTTTATCTATTCCACGGGGCTCAGCCTGAGTATATCAATGGCTAGAAGAGGGGTTGCTTTTCTTTTTCCAGATGTTTATTTCAAAAATGTGCAAAATGGGATACACTGACAACGCTGTCATCCTAGCACAACTGATCCACGACCTGCTCGAGAGCCCTTCCGCCTGCCCCCCGCCCTACCCCCCACCCTCCCAACACTACGTGAAAGATTCGGGACACACCAATGATCCGATCAGCCAGCGGCAACGCAGAGCTCAGCTCGCCCAGGGTCTGCAAGCAGGGAAGGAGGCTTCGCCCACAGCTCAACGTATGGCGCTACTATGGAAACTAGAAAAGAACATTTACTCAAAGGGTGGCAGTGGCAAGATGTGCTAGGGGCTGCTGTGCTTCCCCGCGTGGGCACCCATCCTCTGCGGGTCTTGAGAGGGGTAGTGGATGGGGCCCGGTGCTCTCATGAAGGGTGGGGGGGGGCCCATGGCATGGAACATGTGTGGTCCAAAACCTGCAGACACAAAACGGAGAAGCCGGGTTCAGACAGAGCCGCAGAGCAGGCACTGCAGATCTGTTATCACTCTTCTGAGACACCTACACAAAGCTCCTAGCAGCCACCTCAGAAAGAGGGTCTATTCCACCCAGATTTTTGAGTTGATGAGTTGATTTGAGTTGATTTTCAAATCTCCAAATTCTCCTCCTCTCCTTCCAGTGTAACTTAACCCAACATATACATTTGCTCACAACTATAACCTGGTGGGAGGACCCCAACGCAGTGGTCTATAATCACAATTTCAGTGCTTTCTTCTCAACTCTGAAGCAAATCAAATGCATTCCCAATGGTCAGATATACCCACTGTTTCCTTAAGTCCCACAGAAAGGTGGTGTCCAGAGAGATACACTCACATAGTTGAACATGGGCTTACGACCAACTACTTGCAGACTCACCTTCAAAGTCCTGGTCACTGCAGCATTTACACAAAAGCACCGAGAAGGTCTCAGCACCAGTACCAGGAACCTCCGACTCACCCACAAGTTTGCAAGTGAACATATACCCGCCCCCAACTCAGTTTTATCAAGTTGTGCTGACAGCCCACTTGGTATCATCGGCTTAGATTGCATAATCAGGAGTGAGGAACATCAGCACAGGGCGTGCATAAGTTACAGCCCAGGCGAGCAAGGAGCATTTACCTTTCCAGCCCTCTGTATCTGCACACCAAGTTAGATATTCCCACCGAAATAGGAAAAACAGGTACCTGGAGGTGGTGGTGGAGCAATGCCAGGAGGCGGCGGCAGGGCGATGTTAACCACGGCCGGAGGGCCGCTCGGAGGTAGGTTGAAGTAATTTGCAGAAGCCTCTTCCTCGGCAGCTGGAGGCGGCGGGAGAGCTGCAGCAGAACACACCGCAGTTATGGAAATCTCCTACTCGAGCCGTGCAGAGGTACCTGCCTGCAGAGCGGGGCAGAGCCTGCTCTCCCCCAGGGGCAGACTGTCTCTACCTGAGCACATCTGAACAGCACTGAGAAGCAGGACTGTGCTGAAGCTCCAGAACAGGCAGCATTTTCTCCACAAGGAGCCAGCCTCACTTTTTCCAGAGACAACACTCAGGGAATCAGGAATACATTAGCTAGGTGTTGCACAGTGTGAGCTGCCACTTTCTCTAACCTAAATTATTTTAATTTAGCATAGCTTTTCACCTGTGACACAACGAGGCCTCTTTCCACCCAGAACTTGCTTTTAGGCAAAGCTCTCCTCTAATCCCAGCAGGGTCTGCTCGAAACACGCTGTCAATAATTGCTCTGGCCTCACAAGTGCCTCTGCTGTCCCAAACCTCCATGACCAGAACAGCAGAGTGCAACTTCAGTGTCTCAGGGTGGCAGGTCAGCATTAAGTGTTTCAGAAATCAAAATGTGCTCCTTACCTCCAGGGAGCCCTGGAACCGGCTCCAGCTTTATCCCAGACTCTGTAGTTCCTTCCTTGTCCTTTTCTTTTCCTCTTGCTGCCTGGGACCTAAAAGCCAGAGAAAAGTTTGAGAGGAAAAAGGAAACAAAAAGTAGAACGAGCAGATATTAACACCACAACAATTCCACATCATCTAATCTAGATCCATTGCTTCAGACCTAAGATAAAAATTCACAGACTGGCAGCAACAGCCAGTACAGACCGAGCTACCAGTGCTCACGGGAGCCAGGTGAGAACTCAACCTACAGTGACCCAACCAGAAACCCCCCAACAAATTACACTCCAATCCAAATCCCACTGTTGAAAGAAGAACATTTTAAGAGGACCCCTGCTATTCATCAACTCAGGATCTGCCTAAACCCATCAAGACTGTATAAAGGTACTGAAGAACCACAGCTGGATTTGAGTCCCTCTGCACTTTTAAGAATCAAGTCTCCAGAGGGCAGTATCCACCAGACACATGAAGAAGAGACGATGCCTCTGGCCATGGCACACTCACCGGCCCCACTTGACATTGAGCCTGCGACCGTTGACAATGAGTTTGTTGAAGGATTTCTCAGCAGCCACTTCTGCAGCCTGCCGGGTGGCAAACTGGATGAAAGCACACTGCTGCCTCTGGACTACAGTTACTGTCCGGATCTCCCCAAACTGGTAGAAGTGATTTCTGTACAGAAAAAAATGTGTATTAAAAATATGTATAAAATGTGTATTAAGAGACCCACTGCTCTTACCAAGTGGCCAGCAGAGCAGGCTCTTATATGGTCAAACACACTCACATCCTTTCTTCTCTCTATCACCGGTTCAGACTAGCCATTAGAATAATGTCCCTCGCTCTGTAATTACAGAGCAGTAAAAAATAATATAGCTTCTCCCAGAGGCTAAGTAGGGAAGAGCTATGGGATCTTTCTGTAAAAAGCATAATGAGGTATCCTCAAGAGTCACAGCATGATTCATCTTTGAGAGAAATTTTAATCAAATCACATAATGTCCTTGTTTATCTGTCCTCCAAGAAGCTAAAACTCCTCTGCACTCACCCACCCACCAGTTCCAATGGGATTTTTATTTTCTTGCAAGAGAAAATATCTTTCAGGCATGACAACAGATGAACCCTCCATGTTGCGGGGGCAATTCTGACAGAGAATGCCCCTAAGGTTCCATAATGAAGGATCACATTAAGAAATGAGAGCAACACAAATGCACCAACACACCTGAGATCTGCTTCAGAGATAGTATCTCCAAGGCCTCCAACATACAGGGTAGTAATAGTCTTGTCGTCAGGGGGGTCCAGACGAGGCATGGTTGACGCTCGCTTCAGAAGTTTATCAGCCACGGGGTCATTAATGCCATAGTAACGATCTTTGATGTTCTGATCCGCCAGAGGATCATCTGGATCTGTAGGCTTCTCGTGTCTAAGGTTCAGTAAATGCAGTATTTCATAACAATGACAGTTGCATCAGATTAACATGGCCGCTACCTTCCCTTCTAAACATTGCTCACACCCTTAAAGCTATTCACGCAAATATACTAAAATGGAACAAAGAAACCCAAAAATATAAATGCAGCTATCCTCATATCATAGTATATTATTGCTTTGCGCTCCAAGTGAACAGCACTCCTGAGAGCTCAACATTCAACACTACAAAACAGCAGCTCTGGGTTTCAATCGGCCTCTTGTTCAGACACAAAGATCTCTGCTTGAGGCTGACACCACAAGGGAAGAAATGAAGTACCCAAGAGAAGAGCTGCATTCACTGCCTCACTCGAGCACCACAGGACTGCACTGCAAACCCTTAACGAGTGAACTTGCCACCACAAGGACTCATCTCTGGCGCTAGACACCAACTTACAGCAAGTTTCACTGACACCTCCCGTTCTTCAGACCCTGAACACCCCGTATCTGGCCGTGAAGAGCAGGTCACTGTCCAAGCTGTATCCATACCTGTAGGGACACTCCTCCCCTCTCTTGCATTCTCCTTTCACCCAGAAGGAACAGATATGGGGGCGATTCCGTTTATAGTAAGGGGTGGTCCGGGCCAGCTTTAGCAGCATGTCGCTTGTGGAAGTAGCTTTGCCTAGTGCACCAACTGGTCTGGTGCCATCAGAGTTGGCTATCTAAGGAAAAGTTAGAAAACAGGGAATTAGACGTAGACCACTATAAAAAACTAATGCACAGAACTAAGGGTAGGGAGAGATTTTAAGATGACCTGGGTCATTTCAGAACAAGTGAATTTCGGCCCCTCTCACCTCTACACACAACCACAGCACGATTAGAAATGGACTTCATTACCTCTCTTTCCATGTTCTGGGTGTAGTACTCTTTATTGACGTCAGATTTAGGCATTTCATCCTTAAGGGAGAGTCCTGCATCCCGGACTTGAATCGGCAAACCTAAAATTAAGTTAAAAAGCAAATCCATATTAATCACAAGCTGCAAGTGTGAAAATAGTTATTAGAAGCTGCACTAGCCAGGTGCACCGTGCACCAACCACGTCCCTGAACCCCAGAAGAGATGCGAGCACTGAGATTTGGTCTCCTCAAAGACCATCAACAGCCAAGACAACCATGGCAGTTATAAGAATACGTTTAAGGACACAAGCAAGTAGATCTGCCTCTTATCTCAGTTCCCTTTTTCTTTTTTTTAGTACACACCATATTCCAGGTCAAGCAGACAGGTCTGACAGACATTCTTGAGCTTGCTGCATGTCTGACATACTTCTGTCTTCTTAAAGCGCATACGGACACCAGGGCACCAGCGAAACACCGTGAAAGGCCTGGCACAAATCTGAAAGGCAGGAAGGAGACTCGTGTCATCATCACAGAGCAACGAAATCACCATTCATCTTCTCACAGAGAACATCCAAACACATCAAGTCTCTTTCAACCATGAGTCTGTCTTCACCATCTTAACCCAAAGGTCCAGACAAACAAACTTATGAGCTCTTGAAGGATTTGATTCACTTTAGTGCCTTATTTTGACAGGGGAAAGTTTGGGAAAGGCCTTTTTTGATCAGGTACAATATCTCAATGAGGAAAGCTAAGCTACACAAAGGAAAACACATTCTTCTTCCCTCCAGGAGATATCACCACAGAGCTACAGGAGGTGAATTGTTTCCAAATTGCTCACCCACTGGCGCAGCAGCGAGGCCAGGGAAAGGGGGCACAATTTTTGATACAAAAAAAGAAAGAAATACTGTCATGTATGACATTTGTTGCAAAAATGTATCCACTCACACTATAGGTGCAATCTGAGGAAGTAGTGCAAGATTTCAGCACATACCTCCTTCCTAACTCAGATGACAAATGGTAAAGGAAAAACAATATAAAGTTTTCTATTTTGTATTTCCAAAAGAATGGGAATAACTTATTCACAGAGAAATGAAGTCCAACTATATGAACAGAAGCCATGAGATCATTTGATATGCACAGATATCTTTGGATGTGGCAAAATCAATATGATCAAAACGTAAGTCTGAAAAATGCTGGTGCCAAACCATAACAACACAAGTCTTCAAAACTTTAATCTTGTCAGGCTAATTGATCTTTCTCTAACAAAGCACATGGTAGTTTGATGCAAAAACTTACACAGTTACACATATAAACATATGAATCTGTTAAGCAATATAAGCGTTTTTTTTGAAGCTCACGTTTTTTCCTATTTTTTTTTTAATAGTAATATGTACAGCTCATAGATGTATGGCAGTTTAGATGTCAGTTCTTCAAAAGACAATGCACGTACCTTGCATTCTTTTCCATATTTCTCTTTGGTCTGAAATGCAATCAGAAACAGTAAAAGATACTCATTTGCTTAAGATACTTTTTCCCCAATTTAGCATGTTACCAAAATAATTATATTCACATATAACAGCACAGTAGTTTTTTTCCCCCCTCTTATTTTGCATTTAGACCCATCCATCCCTGCAGTCTGGCCTCAACCAGGATAGTCCTTAATGTGAGTGGAAAAACAACAACAAAAACCGCAAGCAAAACAAAAAACAAAATAACTCCCCAACCCACCCTCCCCAAAAAACCCTTTCTCAATCCCTTTTTGTTTTGGATTACGGAAACTCTGAAGGATTGAAACACACCGTTAGCAGATCAACTCCGTATACGGAATATAGAATTAAATATTAATTGCTGCTCCTAACAGACAATAGCTGCATGAAAAAAAGAGACGTTTCTGGAGAATAACCCATCCTCATCCTGGCAGTCCACATCACAGTTCACAAAGGGTTTTCAGTAACCTTGGTATACGGGAAGGAGGGAAGCCACCTGATCCAGGACTAAGATGATATAAAATGGATGGATCCATCCTCTCGTGAAGAGGCAACAGTGAAAGATAAAGAACTAGAATTACCACAAAGTGACTCTCATAAGACAGATTTAAAGCAGATTTTACAGATGCGTGTCCTGCCTGCTCCAGAAGCTGCATGAACGTATTTAACGTTTCAGCACCTCGCTCATCCCCGCGCGGTTTAAGCTCACCAAGGCTTTGCTCTCCAGCACATCCCGCGCTTGGATGTTGGACAACGCTGCCTTATTCCCTGCGCGTTACTGACCGACGGCGTCTTAAACCGGCGTCTTAAACCGGGGATGGGCCTCGCGGCGCAGGATTAACTAGCGCGGGGCTCAATGCGGGCCCGGCGCCGCGCTCCGCACACACCTACCATGCGGATGTAGGGGTTCTCTCCCAGGCATGTCTGGCACAGGATGGGGAAGTCCTGCACGGGGCGAGGGGAGACACAAAGAACAGTGAGGGCTCGGCAGCGGCGCCCGCGGCCCCGCCCCGGCGAGGGCGGCGG